CATGAATGTAGAAAATGTTGTAGCTTACAGACAAAAAGCTTACAGTCATAGATGTAAAAAAAAACTGTGCATGCACTCGGCCCCATGAAGTCTGCCTAACAAGAGAAAAACCTGCGGCTGATTGGGACTTACTGATTCCTCCTCTGCTCTCTACATATATACAGGCCTACATGCCCGGGGATAAACTGTGGGTGGGTGATTTGTTCTCTTCATGTCCACCGCTCAGATAATGGAAGAGAATGACAATTAGTGACTGGCTGGGATGACTGATCACAGTCATAGATCACAGCACACTGACGTCAGGGCAGGAGGCTGACTCACCTTGGCAGTGTTCAGAGCAGCTCCATAACCAGTGGAGATGCCACAGCCCAGCAGACACACCTTGTCGAGGGGGGCCCTGTAGTCCACTTTAGCAAGGGAGATCTCAGCCACCACGGTGTACTCGGAGAATGTGCTACAGCCCATGAAGTGGAAGAGGCTCTTGCCTTTGCATGAGAAACGGGATGTCCCATCTGGCATCAACCCTCTGCCCTGAGTGAGCCTGGGGAGTAAGATACAAGCACAGATCTGACAACAGATCAGCTGCACAAGGCAAGAATTTCATGTTAGGTGATCTGCACTGTTGCACAATGCTGTGACCCAGGACATTTACCTGATCTTTTGACACAAGTTGGTTTTGGGATTCTTGCAGAACTTGCACTCTCCGCACTGTGGGATATACAAGGGTATGACTGTGTCTCCTAAAAACACAAATAGTTATGTTTGAGCATTTATATAAGATGCACCAATTCAGAGAAGAGAGGAGAGGAGATGGGAGAGGGAGAACCTGGCTGAAACTTGGTGACTCCCTCGCCGACACTCTCCACGATGCCGGCTCCCTCGTGGCCCAACACGACAGGGAAAACTCCCTCAGGGTCGGAGCCACTTAGCGTGTAGGAGTCAGTGTGACAGATCCCTGTGGCCACAATCTGAAATAAAAAACTGATCTGATCAATACCCAATACATTTAAAGCAACTCCTGCTCCTTATCTGAAGATGAATATCTGCTGTAATGTGGGGATATCAATCAGCTCATGAATCAAATGTTATGAGTAATTATTAAAATCCTCTACTTAATTGCTGTTTAGTGATAATTCCTTTTAACTAGAAGCTATACTATTAGTGTAAACATTGTATTAAAAGAACAAACAGAGCGTTCTTGCTCAAGGTAAAGTAATAATAAAGCAAACTCTTTTACACCATAGAAATAACAAAAGGTGCAAAGTACACTGTAGTGTTGGACTATACATACATTACATGAGGAAAAACTGACTATACATAAGCCTCAAGGAGAAGCTGGTCATTATAGTGTAGATACTGTATACTGAGACGTCATTACATTATCAGAATGAGTTTTTCTTTTTGCTGTAGCTGCAGCATTGTCTTCAAGTGATTGCATTTCAATTATTAAGTAAGCACATAGTGAGTGAAGAGTTTGCAGCAACATTTTTATCTTGTGGCCGTTGCCCTAATTCATTACCTTGAGGCGGACCTCCCCACCTTTAGGAGGCGCCACCTCCACCTCCTCCATGGCCAGCGGTTTCCCAGCCTCCCATGCTACTGCAGCTTTGCACCGGATCACCTACAACACAACATCCAAGGCATCTTCAGCTGTCCTGGCTATCATCACTCATGATAACAACTCTCTGGGCATTTAACCCATTCAGTGCTACAGTGGAAGCAGCCTTTATTTGGAAGGATGGAGAAAAAACATGCTTGTTTTACTGTATGATAGAAAACAAGACCACAGTCAATTCACCATCAACTGTTGAATATAACAGACTCATAAAAAACTGTCCTCAAAATAAACTTTGACCTTTTTTCCCCATTGTGCAGATATGTTGCAACAACAGGAAGTCTCAGCTAGCACTTGCTTTAGAGTCATCTAAGAGACACAGAACTCTCCAGTGACTTCTTTTTGTATCTGTTACATGTTGGGAAACAGAGGGACTGTTTTTTCTTTTGCAGTTGTTAAATCGTAACTAATATTCCAATAAATACCAAGATAGATTAAACCGCACCCATGATACCCTTCCTTCTGTAAACATTCCTTCTGCTCTATAAACACTGAACCGAGCAGAGTCCTGGCAATCC